TTTAAGAAAGGTAGGGGTAGACCTAAAAAGACTTGGTTAGAAAATATTAGGAATGACCTTTCTTTATTATATTTAAACGATAATTTGACTTTTAATAGGACACAATGGAGAAAAAGGATTCATGTAGCCGACCCCACGTAGTGGGATAAAGGCTTGATGTTGTTGTTGCTGTTGTTGTTGTATTTTTAAAATATTAAAATTATAATACCGTGTCCAACATGTGCCCATGTCCTATATTTTCAATAATTGACGTGTCCCGTGTCCATGTCATATCAGTCTCTCCGTGTCCGTGTCTCATAGCACAAGACTTCCCTTTGAGGTTTCTCCTCCTAGTAGTTGCTGTAGACAGCAAAGTTTCTCTATTTTAAAGGCATCTTCCATTAGACAGCAAGCCAACCATTGGATCTTTCTCCTAGATTGCCGAAAAAAGCATGTTGGACTATTTTCCTTTAGGACAGAAAGCACTCACTATTTTTTCCCGTGAAGAACAACCTGTTGCTTCTCCAATTTCTATTCTCTGCAAACAGCAAAACATCAGCACGAAGGACAGCAGAGCAGCGACATTAAGCTCGGGCAGCAGCAACAGCAGCAGTAAAAAGCAAGCGGTAACAGCCAATTGGTAAAGCTAGAGTACTCTGGAACCTCTCTAAATACATGTAAAACACCAGTTGAGTTTTCTGCCACATTACCTGGCACTGTAGCAGCAGTTTTGTTATGATGCCATGAAGGAAAATTGCGGCAGCAACGCAATCAAAACAGTGGCAGCAATGCAGCAGCGAGATCAATTTGTGGCATGCAAAAGGAATTGCGAAGAGAAAAAAGAGGAAGGTTTTTTTGGAGAGATTTCTGATTGAATTTTATTACAAGAAATTAAGCCTATTTAAAAAAAAAACAGAAATTGTTCTAATTCAGTTCATGAACAAACTTCACAAAAAAGCTATCTATAAAATAACTTAGAGAAAAGCAAACTAAATAATAATTCCAGATGAAATTATCTTAACATAAATTTAGATTTACATACAGATTATTCAACAAATTTTAAAAACATTCGTCTTTTGTTTTAATCATAAATTTGATCAAATGGTCCAACTTACGGAGCCTTATCTCTCTATTTTTGTGGCTTATTTGCAATACAATCAGGCCTATGGACCCTTGGCGGAATCCTCTTTAACATCAACGGTGTGATCTATGAATCACCACCATCACCAATTTCTATGAGAAAATTGCACCGTTATAACTTTAATGAACACAATCTTTATGATTTTCCATGATATGATGCACAAATCACAAGAGAGATGGCTCATCTTGTAGTCTTCTTTCACGTAACGAAATGTCCCAATTTTATCAAAGCAACAAGGCCCAATTCTATTCAAATAATAGTCAAAAGGCCTATTTCAAAATTTTATTACATGAAAAATAGAAGATGCTTTGGTTGTGGTAGCATCAAGCACTTATTAAGTGAACGCCTAAAGTATAATAAGCTACTTATACAAGGACCTAAGCCACGTATATACAAGAATGAATACATAATGCTCATAAAATTTACTTACAATAATAACTATCGCTTAAGCATTAGCATAACACTCTATGAAGCTCCTTGTGGAAAAAAAATGAATATCACCTATTAATTGGGAAGATTTAGACAAACAAATTATATTGGGATCAAGTGTTTTAGACTAAGCTAGATAGAGAGTTGACAAAACTGAAGCTAAATCCTTACAACTAAAAAGCAATATAAGAGTTAAGTTGATCTAAAAGAAGATACATACAAACCATGAAGGAGACCATATATTTTATAAGGTTTCATTGGTGAAAGAAGTGCAACAATTTGGGATGCAAGGCAACCTGAAACAAAGCTATATTAGAACTTTTGAGGTTCTAGGGAAGATGGGGTTTAGTGGCAACAACCTTGTATTTATGTCCTTATGATGTAGTCAAAAATTTATATTTTATGTATTTTTTTTTGTTCAACACTATGTTTTATTTCGCAATTTTATTTTGTAATACCCTGTGATGGAAAACTACTCATGACCATGCTAGGTTTGGTGCTCTCAGGTCAGTTCACACCATTATCCTTCTACTCGTGTTTCATGCTAAATTTCCATCATTTTGGTGTTTGTTTATGTGAAAATTGGAATTATCTTAATTTGCATTCCTAATGTTCTCCTACTTGATTTAAGAACTTAGGTTCGCATCAATTTAGTATCAGAACCAAAAGTTTCATCAATTTGGTATCAGAGCTTTAAGTTACATCAATTTTGTATCAAAGCCTAATGTTGCATCAATTTGATATCAGAGCCTTAGGTTGCATTAATTTGGTATCAAAGCCTTAGGATGCATCACCTTTATAATAATGAAAACCTACTACACATTAGTTTTGCTACATCAAATTGGTATTAAAATGACTTTCACCGTGTATTGACTTTAGCAAAGTAACCTGTAGGTTAGAGGTACTTACCAAATAATAAATTCAAGGAAAAATTGCTTACAAAAAGGGAAGAATGGAGAAGTATGTATTAAAATAATATTTTTGGGGTAAACATAATACAATGTTTAAAGGTAGATATGCCATAAGGAAGGGCCAAAGAAGATCAATAATATCCAATAGCCAAAATCTATTGAGGTTGAGTTAGCATTAATGCTCCATAACCAACATGGATAAGGATGAGTTTCTTTATCTCATCCTAATAAATAAAAATGAATAGCATAATACTTGCATATTTTCGCTTGAGCATAACACTAATGATGCTAACAATAATTTGTCAATAATCATATAACGCCTTCGAAATGTTAGAAAATGTTTATAGCGAACATAAAGCAAGCATAGCTTGTCATCTACACCAACTAATTAAATTTTAAGCAAATAAGAATATCTATGTGCTTCTCAACTACCACTTACCACCTTTTTTAATTATACTTCATAAATAACTCCCCTCCCCTCCAAAAAAGGCCATCATAATTAATCAGCATAAGAGGTCAATATTTGATGCAATAAAAAGGTTTAGAGATGAAAGCTTTTAGAAAATAGCTCAAGCATGAGGGAATGAGAGATTCCTCATGTTTGGTAAATAATACACTAAATGGAACAAGTGAGAGTCCTCTTTGGATGAGGGATTCTCTTAATGTTATCTATGTAGTTTTAGGTGAGCAAATCCTTGATGATCTCATGCAATTTTTTATGAATAGTAATGAAATCCTACTTTCTATCCAATAGAAATTACATTAATTTTTTTGCTAAACAAATCCATAGTAGAGACGATTTCATCAAGTCTTCTTGAGTATATTCAATGGCATCAATTGACCTAGAGGCGCTTCACCAATATCAAACTCAAGGAGAAATTTCTTCAAGGAAATGAAGACTGATGACATCTGTAGTGGATATTAATTGTACTCACCAAAACTACTTGCTATTTAACAAGCATTTGCTTTAATTGTACTTCTTAACTACCCACATTAACCACCTCATTTAATTGTCTAAAAAGTTTCTTTTTTTTTTTGCCAAAGAAATCATATTTGATGATATAAAAGGACTGAAAATTAAAAGTTATAATATGAGTGGAATATTCTCTTTGCTTGGGCATGTGATTTCCCAATGTAATGATTAAGTTTCAATTGGGTGAGTGATTCCCTAAATACTATGGATGAGCGAGCCCTAATTGTTTTGGGTGAGTGAATCCCCACATATATTGTGTGAAATCTCTCTCTTTCATGGCTACATTAATTGTACTTACCAAACACTACTTGCTACTTAAAAAGCATTTGCTTTAATTATACTTTTTAATTACCCACATTAACCACCTCATTTAATTGTCTAAAAAGTTTCTTTTTTTTATTGCCAAAGAAATCATATTTGATGATATAAAAGGAATGAACACCAAAGGTTTTAATATGAGTGGAATATTTTTTTTGCTTGGGCATGTGATTTCCCAATGTAATGAGTGAGTTTCAATTGGGTGAGTTATTCCCTAAATGTTATGGATGAGTCAGTCCTCATTGTTTTGGGTCAGTGAATCCCCACATATATAGTGTGAATTATCTTTCTTGGCTACATTAATACCACTAGTTCCATATTGTACTAAAATTTATGTTTGTCCCCCACGGAAGAGAAGGTGATATTTCAGAATATTTACTATTGAATGGTAGTCTTTTGTAAGTACATTTATAAGGATATCCTAATACAAAGGATGACATCCAACTCATATCTTAAACATTTAAGCACTATCATTGATGCTCTTTTTCATTATCTGTATTTGAATAAGATGAAAAAGTGCCTTACTTTTCTAAGAAAGCACAATTTACGCAATAGCATTTATAAAAAAAAATATGCACATTGCTTATGATAAATTGGTGTGATGGTCTGTGAAAAGTGATCTAAACTATTAAGTAAACAGTATTTTCAACCAAGAGACACTCAGTTTTGTGCCCATAGTAATTAACATTCACCAAGAAATGGTCATGAACCAACTCCCGATCTACTTAATATTGGAAGATTCAAAAAAGTCAAGAAACATATTGCACACAATGCTAAGCATGAACTACAAAAGTACAAATAATTAGCATACATAGTAGTAATCAAAAATTTCTTTCAACAGCTTCCAAAACATATGAATGGAATGGACATCCGTTTAGTGTTTAAAACGAAAAGAAAAAAAAACAGTAATATGAGGGCAATAAAAGATTTTCATACCAAAGAGCTGCCTCTTAAGATCTTCCTGCATGGTATCATTGTTGCAAACAAAAATATAACCTCCGAGAATCTCATTCCTCGGTAGCATCTCGGTTGAAGGCAAAGTCTTAAAACGCTTGTCAACAACATTGTTGTTGTTGCTACTATTGTTTCCATTTATGTTGTTATTGTTGTTGTTGACATTGATTCCATTACTATTATGGTTTGCATCCTTGATTGTAATGCTATTAGCATACTTGTTGATCCCAGCATTCATCTTAAAGTTGTTTACATTGTTAACATTATTTTTCTGGTACATGGAGTTCAAGTTGTACACATTATTTCTAAATGAACTCTTTGTTGCAGCCTCATTCATCTTCATATCCATATTCATCAGGCCTAGACTCAGGTTATCAAAGCTACCTTCTTCTTGAAACCCCAGCTTTTCCCATGGTTTGGTCTCAACAATGTTCCTAGGGTAATCAAAGTTGTTGATCCGCTCACCCTTTGATCTGGTCATCTCTGCCAGTTTTGAAGTAATAACAGACCATTGGTGATCCTCTGAGACCTTAGACTGTCCCCTAAACTCATCACCCAATTGCCAAAGGCTGTCCATCTTACAGAAAAGTTTGCTAAAGAAGGAATAAAACAAAAAAAAAATCATCAACTGATAGCAATCTATATTAATGTCAAGTAAAAGATAAAAAAAGTTTGTATTACATATTATCAGCATTATAAATAAGCTATATTGCCTTAAGACAAGGATTATGAGCATCATACTACAACAAAATCTATCATAATACCAAAAGCATGACATGGTAAATTGGAAAGACAACCGTAAAGGTATAAGAACAATTCAGAAATTGCGTAGCTAGTTATGAGCATATAAAGCACATCTTTAAAATATAAAGAATGCTATGAAGTACTTAAGTGGTTTCATCTTTTCTCTAACTAAAACAATAATATTATAAGCTAAAGGAAGCATGAAAGAAAAATCTAGCTCATCTGCACTTACCTAAGAAAAAAGACCACTCCAGCCACTTCCTTCTTTAAATATATATGTAGTAGGATTTTGATCTGAGTAGATTTGGTCCAGGTGACAAAGTTGGGTTATGATCTGATGCTCTTAAAGTTAGTTGACTCTGGTTGTTGGGATTAAAAACATGCTTCTCAACAAGTCATATCAAGCTAATAAACTAACAAAATTGAGGTTAAAGGGAAAGAATTAGGAGAAGCATCGTTTTTAATCCGAACAACCCGAGTCAACTATCTATAAGAGCATAAGATCATAAAGCAACTGTCACCTAAAACAATCTTCTTGATCAAAATCATAAGCACACTTACCCGCATTACAAAGAGAGAAAACAGCGTAGTTCGGAGAAAATCTTCAATAGAAAAGAACCATCAGCCAAAAAACCACATTTTCTTAAACTTGTTGCTAAATATTGAACCTTTAACTCAAATCAAAACCCTGAACAAAAAAACTAATAACTTTCACATATCAAACAAAACACGTCTGCAATCAAGCGGCCAATTGCCCTCCGGACAGAAGAAGATAAAAAAACACCTAGGCCGAGATCTCGTAGTACAAAACCCATCACAAAATTTTCAAAATGTCAAAGAATTAGTTGAACACCGAAAGAAGAAGATAACAGCAGATTTCAGGATCCAACTGACCTAGTTCGAAGAATAAAGCGAACCAAAAGCGGCGGCTCGAGTGGTGACTACGTTATGGGTTGGATCCGTACCAGGCTTAACAAACCCTAATCCCTCTATTTGATTTGGTAGTGAGAAATGTTGAAGGATGAAAAAGGAGAAAACCAACTCCCCCTTTTCTCCTCTCACGCGCCCACGAGAGGCGAAATGGAAGAAGGATGGCATAGGCCTCACCCCATTTTAAAGAATCAACATAACAAAATACCCCTGGATTTTTTATAAATGCGAAAATAAGCCACTTCGCAATGGTTAAAAAGTCTCTTTGGGACCATTTTTCTCAATATTATGATTTTCAAATTGATATCATATTTATATTTAATTACTACTTTTCAATAATTCTATGATAAGAAGTTATTTTTATAATCATATTTGTAATTCATTTATAAAAAAAGAAGAGAGAAAGATGCTACATGGTCTTGCTAAGGAAAATCATTGATAATGAGTAAAGTACAATAGTTACAACAACACTTTTCATACTTCCATATTTCTTTATCTCAAATCAAATGTAAAAATTAGGGTTTGTTAAGACATGTGTTGTTCCAATCCATAACCCATATCATAGCTCATGATGCAGTTTTTGGTTTGTGCTATTCCTCGATCTAGGTTAGTTACATCCTAAAATGTATTATTCTCTTCTTCTCTGAATGTTCAACTGATTCTTTGTCGTTTTGAAAATGTTATGATTGCTTTTTGTAATAAGAGATATTGATATATGCTTTTTTTAGAGAGTAATTGATTACTTGATTACAGATGTATTTTTTGTTTGATATGTGAATGTAGTATTTTCGTCCAAGGTTTTGAATTGACTTAAATGTCAAATGTTTAATAATCATTGTATATAAATGTGGCTTTTCGACTGATGGTCATTTTTTGAATATTTTCTCCCAATTACGCCATTAGATTCCCACTTAACAGCAACCGTGAGGCCACTACCCAATCATTGTCATCGATATATTGCTAAACCGCCATAATCAGATCACCGCCAAGCACAAGATCGCCATTGTTAGTGTGCCACTCACATGCCTACTTCGAACCACCGCTAAACTAATGATATTAGACTAACACCCGATGATAGTCCTCCGTTGCCTCTAATGGTCTTTAAAATAATTTGTCATATTTTCCTCTCATTTTATTGGGGAGAATTAAAACTTGCATCAATGGACTGAGTCTTGATCACCACTAACATTTGTAAACTCTAATTGGACTTTTTCCCCTTTTTGTAAGGGAGAACTAGAGCGTGCAATAGAGGATCGAGCATTGATCATCTTTGATGGCCTTTAAATGTTTTATGAACAATTTGTCCTCCTTTAATGGAGATGTACTAGAGCCTTGAGGGTGTTTAAATTTTTTATAGACAATTTTTTCCTTCTTTTGTGAGGGAGAACTGGAGCAACATCAATGGGTCGTGCCTTGATCGCAACCGTCATCAATGATATTTAAATTATTGTGAGATAAATTTTCACTCTTTTTAACTAGAGCCCCTTCTGAAGATTGTGCTTTCAAAAATTTATAGAACCATAATGGATAATTTTTTAAGAACTTTTCGAATATTTATGAAGTTCTTTTTTTCAAAAAAATTTAAAGTATTTAATGCATGTTTTGATTTTTTGCCTTGCTAAAAATATTTTAAATAGGAAAATTAATATTTAAAAAAAGTAGGCAACTTATACAGCCTAAATAGGCTCCTATAATCTTTATTTAAATATATTAACTTCACTATATAAAAAAATCTATTAGAGAAAGATTTACCTTTTTCAAATCCTTCCTTCCAAATATTTTTTATAAAAACTTTTCTACTAACAAAGTATTTAAAGTTTTCAAATGTTTCTTCACTGACTTTTTCTTCAAAAGAATTAAATTTTTTAATAAGAAAATCTTTAGAGTAAAACATTTTATAAATGTTTCTTTATAGATATAAACATTTATTTAAAGTTATTTTCTAGGTATATAATTTTTTAAAAAAATCTCATCATAGGAACAAGCACTAGGACAAGCAACGTACAATAGGAGTAATTATTACGTCCGGATAAAAAATCGGAAACCCGAACGTATATCGAGCAATACCGAGTTTTAGATGATGTGGCGCATGATTATTCGTCTCTGGACGCGTCAGGTGACCTGACGTAGTAATTACTCCAACAATAGACAATTGACCAGCTTGACGATTTGCTGACCCAATCTAATTTAGGCTCAATTTTGGATCTGATCAAATTATTTCCAGAATTTTTTAGATCCAAAGAAACATTTTTTATATTTTCAGAGCTCGGTGGAGTCTCTATTGTCACTTTCAAGCAATTTAAAATGATTCCAAATAAAATTTCTTAGTAACCTTTGCTATGAACGACATGCCAACTTTATTGAACATTAAAGTTATAATTAAAGAAGTTTTACTTGGTTCATTTCATGGCCAAAAGAGGAGGTTTTGTGGTTACATATTTTTGGATAATACAAATTTCAAAATCTCAAATAGAAGGACAATTGATACATCAACAAAAGTTACATTGATCGAGCACGAATCTCAATGCACGTTTGGGTTTGAAACTTTTAAAATTAAATTTAGGACAATCCAAACTTTTATTTCAGCAGCTTTTAGTCAAATTAAATGTCTCAGCGAGACAAATAAAATGATCTAATTCATATACGAATGAGCCCAGTTGAAGCACTTAAAGCCTATTTGGAAACTCTACAATAATAATTGGAGTACTAAATCATCATGTTTATAGCCGAATTGAGTGTTTTGATAAAATAAATCTAATAAGCTTAATATCACTTAATTCTTATATTATTAAGAGACTTAAAAAAGTAAAACCCCATTAGCTTGAGATTCAAGAGACCTTTGAGCTCTAAGAATCATGGAGCATAACCATCTAGCCACCACCCGACCACCATCGTTGGATCCCAATCCAACTCTCATTACAACACCAGTCAGTCATGCCACCATCAGAGCATGACTATAGCCATTCCCATTATGCTAAAAACCCACAAGCTATAATGAGCAACTGAGAATTTTTCAAAGACCTATATGACCAACATTCCTTAATACCTCCAACAACGTTATTGCTAACACTTTAAAAGTTTACTTGGGTGAAATAAGATATGGGGTTTGGAGCTTTTTTATTTTTTATTTAAAGAACACATTTTTATTAATAATAAGAAAAGAAAGATACATGAAAAAAAAAAAAAAAGCTTGTAAGGGAAAGACTACCACTTCCAACAAAAAAAAAAAACAAAGGGGAAGCAGGGCCCCCCCCCTCAAAATTGAAGCTGGTTCCGCCCCTGAGGGGAAGGGTTTACAACTTGAGAAGTAGCCCATACCAAGCAGCAGATAAAAGAAAAACAAAGGAAACAAAAAGAAGAGCCTCTCAAGTGAGGACTCCTTCATTGTTTTGTATTGCGCAACAATATACAATACAAACAAATAAAAAGAAGCCGTCTGTTAAGCACTTGAGGGGACCAAGTCCTCGCCTATGGAATTTGTTGAAGTGTTCTTCCTTTTCCTAGGGGAGGTGGCTAAAGGCCTAAGTCGGAGGAGCTCTCTATCCAAGCGAGACTTGGACACTCTTGGTTGTTGCTTGAGAAAGTTCATGATCCTATTAGAAGTTTCTTCCATCTGTTGTAACTTCTCGATCGAGAATTGGATAGGGGGCTCGACTTGTTTGACGGGTGCCTTGGTCTTTTGGAGCCTTCGGTTTGGCTTTCCTTCTCCTGATGACTAGGTTCCAAGCTCCAAAGAAGGATTCATCCTTGTCCTCACAAACAAGGAGCTCTTCAACAACTTTATGCTTCGGCTCAGGAGGGAATGCTTGGGGGAAACTCACGGGTGTGGCTTGCACCTTAACTGCCCGACGCCGGCTGCTTTGGGGGAGATTAGGGGCCTTGGGTTGGAGCTTTGGATAGGCAAGCCCCATTGGCATGGCCAATAAAAAAGCCACAATCGAAGCAAAAGTTTATAAGCCCGTCATATTTGACTCTTTTAAAAAGTCGTCAATGGAGCCCATTAATCCAAAACCTTGATTGATTTTGGGGCTTTTGGGTTGATAGGATATTTTCGCCTCTTTAGGGGCTATATTTTCTTCCTCAATATTAAATATATATTTTAGGAGCTTTCTTTAAATATAATATAATATAATCAATTTCTAGAAAATACTATAAGAATTTATTTTCTCATGTAAGAATATATCATTAAAAAATAGAGCATTAAATCAACACATTAAAAAGACGTATATTTAAATTTTAAACGCATTATATTTTTATTATTTCCAAAAATTAATGTATTTTAATATTAAATTATTGAGTTGATAAAATATTATTCTAAAATAGAAGATAACTTTTTAAATTATAAATGTCAAGCTATGATAAGAATTTTTTATACTATAAAAAAAATGTTATTATTTAGAACGGAAATGCAAATATTAATAACAGTTTTAGCCGCGCTGGATGCAGTCCGTGCACAATCTCTCTTCCTTGTTCTTTCAAATGCCCAAGATTCCTCTTTGCAACGTATCTGTCTTCTCTTTTCTCCTCTCATGAAGCCATTCTCTGGCTTCTCCGTCATCATCTTCCTTTTCCTCGCTCTTATCTCCGTCTTCTACCTTCAATCCAACTCCGATGGGCCATGGAAGACCCCCTTCCGCCCCTCGGACCTCCTCCCGCTTCTCCCTTTATCTGTCTCGTGGCCGATCCTCCGTTCACTTTACAGCGCCGTTGACCTCCTCCCGACGTTTGTTGGTGCCGTCTCATCACCGGAGACTAAACTGCAGTGGAAAGGCGCGTGTTTTTACGAAAATACTGCGTGGATGGAGTTTCACAATAAAAGCAAGTCACCCTACGGAGGCGGCACTCTCCATTTAAAGGTTGAATCCTGATCTGTCCTTTGTTTCGTTTGAAGATTTTGTTGGAATTGGGAACTGTATTTCTTATATTTGCCTTTCAGCGGGAGATAATTAGGTTTTTGTTATTATATTCGTAGAATTAGATTAATGAGCATTGTTGCTGTAAGTTCAATTAGCATGTGGGTGCTGAATTATTCGTATAAATGTTTTTTTTTTCTTGTGAAGAATTTCACTGATATGCGAAGACGGGACTTTTTGATGTTATCGGATTCCCCGTGAGCTGCGTTTTATTTGGGCCGTCCATTTTTTTAATCAATAGGGATTGCGTGTCTATTTTTGTTGCCTGTCCTGAACGTAACCTTCTTTCGTGTTCATATTGGATTTGACCGACGATATGGTTTATCTTTACTTCAACATCGAGATAGTAATACTTGGCTTCTGTTAACCTCATTAGTTACATTGGTTAGAGTAACAATTCATGTAGAGGAGTAGAAGTAATTTTTAGATCAAGTCATCTGGTAGGATTTTGGATACTGTGCTGCTTGAAGCTCTCTTCTTTTATGACTTTGAATGAAATTTTAAGAAGAAGGCTCCTAATAGGATCAGAAGAAATCAGTTTTACCTGTACAAACATGTGACTTATTCAAGCATGTGGTGCTTCAGGGTTTATATCCATTAAAAGGTATTTTAATAAAATAGAAATTTCTTAGTTTGCCAAGTATTTGGAGTTTTTGAGGAACATTTGAACTTCATTCCTTGATTCACTCCATTATTTTGCCCCATTCTTAATCTTAGATAACACTTGGTAATGTCAGAGGACATTTAGAATTTTCTCTGCAAGAACCTTATATTCCGTTGTACTAACATTGCTCTTTCTGGTTTAGGTAATCCAGATGGAATATATAAATATATACATTGTAGTATTACATATTGATCCTATGGCATCTGAACTTTAGAAAATGAATATAAAGTAGAAGTCAATAATGAAACATTTTTATTGCGATATCTAAATCATTCATGGTTAGGTCCTTGTCATTTATATGCTTTTTTTTCTTTTCATATCTGCATTTAGGTACTACATTTATACTCATAACTCATTCCAACTTTTCATAATAGTAATCTGAGGAAAGCTAGCCTTTTGAATTTTGATTAAGCTGTCATCACCAAGTGGGTAAAAAGGAAGCAGAATGTTTACATCCTGAAGGAATTGAATCATGATAATTTTTCGATGCCTTCTAATCTGAAGTTTTTGTATCCATTTTTTCTGCATTTGTTTATCATCTCATACAAATTCTAATGAAGAACCATCAATTTATTCATGCCACTCAATACACAGTTTTTCAGTTCAAATTTTCAAATATTCACAATACACCCCAACATTCTCTTCTCATAATTTGGCCAGGTCACGAATGCTCATAGCTGGACATGTATGGATCTTTATGTTTTTGCAACTCCATACCGTGTGACATGGGATTATTACTTATTGTCTCGAGAGCATACCCTTGAGTTTGATGAGTGGGAGGGTGAAGAAGAATATGAACATGTAAGTTGCCACCACAATCTATAAATTCAAGTCTACGAGGAGAAAGTTTTTGCTTTATATAGATGCTCAAATAACATTTCTTATTTCATCTTTGGTGTATATTCACTATTTTTGTGGTGTCAGGTGAAACATCATGGAGTGTCAATCTTCCTCATGCAATCAGGGATGTTAGGAACTCTCCGTGCTTTGTGGGATGTTTTCCCTTTGTTTACAAATACTGGATGGGGAGAGAACTCAAATATTGCTTTTCTCCAAAAGCATATGGGTGCAAAATTTGTGGAACGCCCAAAACCTTGGTTATCAAGCATCAATGTTGATGACATTCACTCCGGCGATTTCTTGACTTTATCAAAAATCCGTGGAAGATGGGGTGGTTTTGAGACTCTTGAAAAGTGGGTGACTGGAGCATATGCTGGTCATACTGCTGTTTGCCTAAAGGATTCGGAAGGAAAACTTTGGGTTGCTGAATCCGGACATGAAAATGACAAGGTTGGTATCATGTATTAACACTATGAATTTAGCATTTTTTTCTTGGTTCATAATGAAATGAATTTGCCAATCCCAAATAGTTGGGATGTGGTTAATGATGACAATAATGTAATGTAGTGGATTCTATGTTGTAATTTATGTTCCTAATTGTTATTGTAATGTTGATTGTCTTTTAATGGCATGCATCATACTGAAAAATATATTTCAAGTGTTAAATAGTTATCAGTCTGTTTTAGATTGAACAATATCATGCCAGTTTTCAGAAAGGGTTGTATATTTAAATGTTTATATGCCATTGCAGTGGAAACTTAAAAGCCTGGCAGTAAGAGGTTTTCACACAATGTCATTGAAAAGTTTGAAAAATGGTTTATGTTGTCTATCATCACGTTAATGATATCTAATAAAAAGAATGGTGTGCATTTTGGATTGCATCTTCAGGTAATCAATAGAGCATTCGATAGGACTTCATCAAAAATATTTTGCTACTTTTTGCAGTTATTCCTCTCTATTTCTGTTTTGTACATGTATAAATATTTACTTTTTTTTTTTTTCAGTTATGCCCACAAGTTTTGTTTGTTTGGTCTAATATTGCTCCAAAATTACACTTCATTTATTCCATAACGTAATTGGGCATGATTAATGCATTGTGGTTGCTCATTTGTTTTTGGAAAACTAAATTAGTATGTTTTTTTGGCATTGAATTGGTTTTGGACTGGCATCTATCCTTTTACCATTATTTATATCTTCCATCAGTATATGGAAAATTTTTAATCCCTATACGAAGTCATATGGGATCAAAAGTGACATAAGTTACCAAGTTCTCTGTATATGCAAGCATAATGTCCCCGTAATTAAAAATGATGATTATACATATGTTTTACAGGGTGAAGATGTGATTGCTATATTACCATGGGAGGAGTGGTGGGATTTCGAATTGAACAAAGATGACTCAAATCCTCAAATTGCATTACTTCCGCTGCATCCAGATGTCCGTGCTAAATTAAACAGTACCGCAGCTTGGGAGTACGCAAGAAGCATGGATGGAAAGCCTTATGGCTATCACAATATGATCTTCAGCTGGATAGATACTCCAAGAGATAACTACCCACCGCCAATTGATGCTCATTTGGTATGGTGTGTTCTTGTTAATCTTTCAACAAGTACTTGGTTTGGGTCTAAGCATCAAAATTCTCCACGATGAAGGATGCTTCCATGGGGTTTTCATATCCAATTTAGTTGCTCTTCTGCTTTGAAACTTGATGGATAACACTATATGGTATATCTGATTCAAAATTTGAATGGGTTGTGGAGGAAACTTCACAGCTGTCGCTTAGTCTGGTTTCTCTAGTTTTGAAATCTCTAAATTTATTGTCGATATGAAATCAGAATTCCAGATTGTGAATATATTTCAGATATAGAAAAATGAGATATGAATTTTATGATATCTTGTAACCCTTGCATTATAGTTTTTGTTTTCTGTTTTCCATCTATGTTCTTGCAATCCAAGCATCCACACGCACATTTATTGAACATACACAATGTTAGGTAATTAACAGTACTTTTAGATGTGTGCTATATGCCTATAACATGAATAGAAGGGTGCATTGTATACATATAAAAACATATATGCGCTATCTATATGTAATATATGCTGACCAAAAAAGGTTGGGAGAAGCCAAGGATGATGGTAATGATGATTAAAATATACGTAATATATTCATGCTTCATGGAATGATCTTGGAGATCGTCATTGAGTGAAGTTGGGTAAAAATGTGATTACAATATCAGTGCTGCTTTGATTGGAATTATTGTGCTCTCATCCTACCATATTTCCCATATTTTGTTTCTAGTTTTCTTTTGAGGAAAATGGGAGCTTCATGATATTGTATTCCTTTTTATTATGTGAAGTTGATTACTGATTATTATTCTTCGTAGGTTGCTTCTGGTATGATAATGTGGTCCAAAATTCAGCCAGCTTATGCTGCTAATATGTGGAATGAAGCCTTGAACAAACGGATTCAGACTGAGGTTTGTCTCTATCTGTTTATTTTATTGTCATAGTTCTTCCAAAATACGTTTCTCCTGTGACTATTTGACATTCATAATTAGGGATCCTCTTGCAAACAGTTTGTTTCTATTGCTGCAAGTGTCCAACCTTTTTCTGTAGGCTCTCAACTGTCCAATTTATTAATTTTGCAAGTTCAGAATAATTAATGTTGAGGATTATGAGATTGGAGTATTGCTCATTCATGATGATTTATCATATAATACGCAATCACATACCATGGCTATAAACCACAAATTTGTTCTTCCATCATTCTCCGTTGATAAGCTAGGTCGGTCAATCGGCTTTGGATTGAAGTGAAGGGTAAAAATTATATAATTTGTGGTTTGACTATGAATCTACTTCGAGACGTTTAACTATACTTTTACTGGTTCTGTTGCAAGACGCTTTTTGGTCTATGTTTTTCCTGATACAAATGTAAAATTTGATACATGAAAATACACAAAAATTCCAAAATTCATATGCTTAAAGGCTTCTTATTTATAGATCAAAGCTAGTACCACAATTGATAGTTTCTCTATACACAAAATCACAAATCCATCCTGAAAATTCTCAGTAGCACATCAAGTTTCAGATCCTTGCTATAATGAAAAATCACAAATCAAGGATTCCCGTGTCTCTGCTACAATAGAATCACATGTAAGAGGAAGTCAACCAACAAATAAGGCAACAATAAGCAGTTAATAGAAGCGGGAAAATCATATATTGATGGAAATAAATGGTTATCTTCAAAACACCGACTCAACTACGACACAAAATCATGAATAGAAGAAAGCAAGCAACCAACTCCCAACTACAGGGCAGAAACGGAGAGAAGGAAACAATGAAATCTCCTCAGAAGGAAGCAATCAAATCTCCTAAAATGCATGTGAAGCACAATGGCAACACCTTTTCAAAATAGCGATTTGATGAGCAATAGATAGCCACAAGTTTTCAGAGAAGTAATTTACCAACCAATGACCCAATCAATGATAAACAAAAAATAATAGATGATCTAAGAAACCGTTGGCTGAGTCGACTCAAACTAATACATGAAATCAAACAAAACCAACATAAACTTTAAAGAACTCAGCCTATTAATAAGGATCAACACTATAAGCATTTTTACAATAACTCTAAAATTAAACCTATGAAAACAATTAAAGCACTCAAATGTGCTCATCTCAATGCACATAATTTGCTTTTTTGATGTATATATATATATATTAGATTTGTATCATTCAGATCAATTTGAAAAAAAAAAAAAAAATACTCTGATGTATTATATTTGTCATACAAATCTAGGTATAACTGTAGCTTTTTCTGTAAGCAATGAATCAACACAAGTAGTCTTGTTGTGCCCATGCATGTCAGTGGCGTAAAATGGCACATGCCATGGTGCGCGACGCGACACACATTCGGCCCTATTTGCTTGGCGCGACACAAAGCATCAAAATAATGCGCGTTATTTGCACCATATATGGGCAATGGCGCATGGCGCAAGACGCAAATGACTAGTTATTTTGGTAACATGTATAAATTTCAAATTATAAATCATAATTAAAATTTTTTAAGATTTATATATTAATATCATTATTAGTTATTTATTAATTAAACATCAAATTATTAAAATATCAAAAAATTAAAGTATTAACTTTTTTGTCGGATTTAAAGTTATCATTTTTGTTATTTTGCGAGATTTAATCTAAATTATGCTTAAATCCTACTCAAATCTATTGATGTAAGTTTATGTAGGATTTAAAATTATATTTTTTGCTATTTGACTAGATATTTATGCTTAAATTATGCTCTAATCAATCTATTGTTTGTTATTTAATGGTATGTAATATTAATATTTGTATATGTGTTTTAATTATTTTACATTGTGCGCCATGTTTAAAATGGCGTGCGCGGTGCTATGGCTCAATGGGAAACTTTGTTTCGTGTTGCGCCATTCGCCATTGACAAGTATGATTGTACCAATGAACATGATGCCTCTAATATCCACCATCTGTAATGGATACAAAATCTTATCATTAAAAATAGCTTTCAAAACAAGATGTGTTTTGCTATCTAGAAAAGTGTTAGATGTAAATACATGAGGACATAAAAGAAAAAAAATGCAATTTAATGGTTGTAGATTCATGACATAAATTCAAATCACAGACATTCAAGGCTGGGCTAATATCAGAACTTTGTAGAATTTTCAATTTATAAGCATTTGTTCTGATTCATTGTATGATTTTATATGGTTTTGTTTTCTTGTATTTAATTTCTCAAAGGTCCCAATAAGAAAATTTAAAGGATTCTGACATATAATTATCTTATCAACTTGTTTGAATTTCACGTATTTCCTTTTCACATCAATTGTAGACTTATAATTGCCATAATCAACATTCAATTTGTTGCAAATATCTTCATGAAAATAACAAATGTGATATGAAACAAATAATGTAAATAATAAAATACTAACAACAGGCATCCTAATGGATGCTTTATTACAATCGTCAGAAGACATGATAATAAAGAAAATTGAAAAAATGCAAACTGCATATTTATGATATGCTTATATGGATGTATAATCTCTTCAAGGAAGACTATCTCAAATGACTTAAACATTAGTTGTGATGAATTAGACATTTTAGGTTTGGCTAGATAGATAGAGTTTAAACTAAAGGATTTTTGAAGGTGTACATTGTTAATAAAATCATTTTAAACCAAATGACTTAAATATTAGTTGTGATTTCATTTTACTTTCTCTCTGTGATTCTTTTTTTGAATTTGTGAGCATAAAACATAATATAAAATTAATTTTATTTTGATTTATTGAGATAAATTCATTTGAAAATTCATTGAGAGTTAAATTATCAGCTTCTTCAATTAGTTTATTAATTTTAATAGGCATGGTTAGTTTAGATTTATATTAAGAGATGAATCTAATTTCTATTAGAAGCTTAGGTATTTATCCAGGCGTTGGACTCAATTTCCCTTAGAAGGTTTGGTTCGAAACCAAAATTATATTCAAATTTTATATATAGTTTTGGTTCATAATAAATTTAAGTATAATGTAAGAAAGAGGGAGAGTACACCTATCCAACACGAGACATAAAAAACAATCAATAGAAGGAAATAAGGGCAACTATGATGCACCTACTATAAGAAAATAAGTCATACAAAGGAGAATTGCTGTAAATTGAATGATAAACCAGTGATTAAGAATAAGGAAACCAATTAGGATGCTAAAGAGCTCATTCAATAGAACAAACTCACTGTGATGATGGCTAGAAAAAAAGGAGATTTAACATTGAACAAATTAAAATACTCAGAGATCTAATAGAATCCCTTGATAAGAAATGTTCCGGTGCATGTTCATCAGCATTCTGAGGTATGCCTCCACTTCCCCTTGGGTTGAAACCATTTAGTATTTGGCTAACTTTTGGATAGTTGAATCACACTTCACAATACTTGAGCACTTAATACTCCATATCCTAATAGTAGGGTAATAGTCATAGTAAATGTTTCTTTTGATATGATTGCACATTAGGATATATTTGGATGACACTCTCTTACCCTTAAAAATTTCGATGTGCCAAAATTTCAATGCAAAAACTCATAGAAAATAAAAAAAATGTTATACAAGTTTTCATTCTCATTACATTTTTTAGGGTCATAATTCAAGAAGGAAGATTATACTTATAAAATTCAATATACATATATAAAATAACTTTTACATCCGTATAACATGGTATGGATAGTAAAACATAATTATAGTGAAATAACATGATGTTTATGCTGTCTGGTAGCTATCAAATATTTGCCAGTATGAAACTGGTATCAACAACAGGCACATATTAGAATAATAAAATAAGCATTCATTGAACATAATGTCAGAATGAAATAACATGGAAGAAAATAATATCTAGCATTTTCTTTCAAATATTTCACACATTTTTTCTTTGTCGTCTTATACCTTCACTCCACTCATACCTCTACACGTTCACATTTCCCCTTTGCCTCCTTATACATCCACTTGTTCAAATTTCTCCTTTGCCTACTTATGTATCCACTCTTTCATATCATATATGTTCATGCATATCAAATAGACAGATGGACAATTATATAGGTGCGTAGGCCCTTATATCTTCATTTGAATGCACCTAAAACATTCATCACCAATCACAAGCCTTTATATCTCCATTTAAATGCACATAAATATCCACCACCACTCACCTGTACTTTCCTCTTTTGCACACATTTTCAAACATGTGCACATAGAACTATCGATACTTCATATCAATGCTTTAAGTATGAGTATAGTAATATTATTACGTTCAACATGTATAAACAATGTTTATCATATCACATAATTATATAGAATGCACATAAATTATCAATAATGACATACTTGCATTTTCTCCTTCTTCCCATTTCCACACATTTTCAAACTCATGGGCATAGGAATGTCAATGCTTTCAACATGTATAAATTGTATATGACATATCATAGGATTATATAATATTTCACATGAATGAGAGACAATAGGATTTTACGTGGGCAAACTTATACACACCATGGTTTAAAATTGCGCAATATGAGGCTTGCCTTGAGGCCCGCCTTTGCGCAATTCCAGTAAAAAACGCCTCGATGCTTACGCCTCGAGTTTTTTTATGAGCTTGCCGCCTCAAATTGGTTGAGGCCCGCCTCGCCTCACTGGCATGAGGCTTACGCCTCATGCTATATATATTAAAACTTACATAAATCTTAAAGTAAATGCTCGACATTGGACTCTATAGGAGAGGAGGAAGGGGAGAGAGCAGATCATCATAATGATGATTCAAATGAAGAACCCCTTAGTGATGACAGTGCTGATGACTTATGAGTTCTTATGTGATATGTCATTGCAATTTATTTTTGGAAATTAAAATTATATTTTAATGAAAAGAATACTGGGATTTGAGATAGATAGAATTTTGAGTTGAACTAT